TGTGGTGAGAAAAAAAGGTATTAGATATATAATAAAGTGAAACACAACATTTCTAATTTTAACAAAACGACAACAACTCTAAACACAATACACTTACACACACATACACTTATTCTATTATTTAATAAAACAATATAGTTTTGTAAAATATCACACACAAACTCCACTTATTTTTAAAACCAAGTATATGAACAAGGATGCTGCAAAAAATTTGTTGATAGGACAACTTTAGCCATAATATCTGCAATATTAACTTATGATGCTATTTTTTCAATTTTAACAGACCCATTAGATATAATATCCCTTACGAAATGAAGCCTAACATCAATATGTTTGGTTCTTTCATAATAAGCAGACACTATTTTTAGACAAGTGTATTGCACTTTGAGAGTCACAATACACTTATGGTATGACCTCAACGAAGCCTATCTCACCCATTATACCTTTAAGTCACATGGCTCCTTTTACAGCTTCAGTGAGGGCAATATATTCTACCTCAATTGTTGAAAGTGCCATAATTTGCTGCAAATTTTATTTTCAACTCATTGGTATCCCACCAACAGTGAACGCCATGCCAGTTAAGGATCTTCTTCTATTTAAATTTATATAGCATAGTCAGAATCACAGAATTTTTTCACAGAAAAAAGAATTAGATTAGTACCCTGAGTAGAATAATTCAAACAATATTTAGAAGTGTTATTAAGATACTTAAGGAGCCATTTTATAGTATTCCAGTGTTCCTCACAAGGATTTCCCATAAACCTACTTACTACAATAACATATGTGCAATATCAGGCCTAGTATTAATCATATCATGCATCAAGCTGTCTATTACACTAACATATGGTACATTTTTCATATAGATAGCTTCTATAGGTGGCAATTTAGACAAAACAGACTTTAGCCTAAATTGAGCACCTAATGGCACATTTACACGTTTTAAAATATGCATAGAAAAGAGTTTCACTACCTTCATAACATCTTGATATTAGGGGAGTAATAAGGTTTTACTCTTCCTATCTCTAGTAATATGCATACTAAGAATCCGCTTGGTAGGTCCTAAAAATTTCTTATCAAATTCTTTTCTAAGCATATCCTTGAGTTTGTTAATCTCAATTAAGTCTTTTAAAGCTATAAGCATGTCATCAACATATATTAATAAGTACACAGAACAATCATTTTCAGCAAGCTTGTAATAAACACAACGATCATAATTGCACTTAACATAACCATGAGACATGACATACTCATCAAATCTCATATACCATTGTCTAGAATCCTGCTTGAGTTTATATGAGTATCTTTGCAGCAAACACACCTTATTTTCAGAGCCTCTCTTTATGAAGCCTTCAAGCTACTCCATAAAGAACTGCTCATCCACCATACTATGTAAAAATGTTATTTTTACATAAAGTTGCTCAAGTTCTAAGTCTAATATAGCAACTATAGACAAAATGAGCCTAATTGATGTATGCTTATCAATAGGAGAACATATTTCATCATAATCAACACCCTATACCTCTGAGTAGCCCTTTGCTATAACTCTTTCTTTTTACATTGCTTCCTCAACACCAGGGATTTTAGGTTTCTTTTTAAAAACCCATTTGCAGCCTATGATTCTCCGTAAATGTTCAAACCAAGTGGTTTGAACCGATCCCACACCTGTCACCCAGTCACCTAATACTGATGTTCGTGGTTTGTATTGAATCGATTTAGGAAGAAAAAATTATTCGACTCAATTCCTTCAGTTTGATCATGTAATCATTTATTTGGTTTGAATTTTTTTCAAATCCAATCGAATTTTATTCGATTTGAAATGAATTGGATCGGTTTTCATTTTTTGAAAAGTTTAAAATTTGTATGATAATTATTACGCATATAACATATTTTTTATATGCATTGACTTTATAAAGTTTGTATAATAATTACTATGCAATCTAGAAGTATCAGTATACGATAATCTAATTTTCATACAATATAACAAAAAGTTGAAACTAGGTAAACTCGGTAAACTCGGTTTCAAGTATTTATCACCTGTTGGATAAAAAGGAAAATTAAACAATAACAAAGTAAGGAAATTAATCTCAATTACTAATACAGAGAGATCTTAAAATAGTTTTTATTTCAGTAGTATCACATTCACGTGAAAATTGTAAAACTAAATATTTAAAAACAAATGCTATATTTATGTAGCAAATAATTCATACTTTTGTAGTATCCTACAATGTTAATAAAACCGGATCGACCCGGGAACCGGTCATATAACCAGTCCGGTTGAAGTAACAGACCGGCCATGTATTAGAACCGGTGCGACCTGGAAGGTTTTTATGAAAACCGAGTACCTGGTCGGTTAACCGGTGACCCGACTCTATCCAAAAAAAAAAAATTCCAAATTTTTTTTTCAAAAAAAATCATAATGGATATATTTGAATATTTTTTTGCTTATTGACTTACATAAGTTATGTACATATAACACTTATATTATCTCAATTATGCATTATACAGAAAATTTTGATTTGATTTATAGTTAGAGATGTCGTTTACTGAACCTGAAGCCCCGTATCACGATCATTATATTTTTGTTTGATCTTTTATTGGATAATAATATGTGATTTATTATATTAAAATATTTGAAATTTTTATCATTTTTTTAGATATCTGAGTATGTTTATAATTTTTTAATATAAATTATAAAATTGCATATAATTACCGGGTCATGTGGTTGAACCAGTGACCTATGATGCACCGACACCGACACGGGACACGGGACATGACACGACACGAAACGTCGACACGTTAATTCTAAAAAATGTCATATTTAGACACGTTGGGACACATTTTGATATTAAATAAAAATTTTAATATATATAATATAATTTTTATTTAATACAAGAGTAAATACTTTTTTTGGTCCTTAGCAAAAAATTCGGTCCTCACTTTAGTCTCTTGCAAAAAAAAATTAGTCGTCTATCCCTATGAAATTCAAAGTGGACCCATTTTAGTCCTTTTGAGGGACTAATCTGGGTCTTTTTTGAATTTGTGAGGGATCATGATTTCAACTAAATGGGTCCACTTTGAATTTCTTAGGGATCTCAAGACTATTTTTTTTGTAAGGGACTAAAGTGAAGACCGTATTTTTTGTTAAGGACTTAAAAGGGTATTTACTCTTAATACATATAACAGTCCATAATAAGTCATATAACCAATCAAATATTCAAATTTCATAACATAAATATAAACAAAAATAATTTTTCGTACTATATTAATTTTTCATGTCAAATTTCATAACAAAAAAATTGATTTATATTGTTTTTATATTTAGTTAATAAAATAAAATTAAGACTAAAAAAAAACATGTCAGATGCGTGTCTGAACGTTGACCGCGTGTCGGAAAAAGTTGAGTGCGTGTCGGAAAAACGTGGTGGAACGTGTCGAAGAGTTGACCGTGTGTGCCAAAATGTTGACAGCGTGTCTGAACGTGTCGGTGTCCGACACACAAATTTTTTAAAAAGTCGCGTGTCCGTGCTTCTTAGTCAGTGACCCACTTGTTAAACCAGTGACCTAGTACCTCGATCGAGTCAATGATCGGATCGATTTTAATAACATTGGTATCCTATCCAAAAGTTAAATTACAATGATGGTAGTAACATAAACTTGCTAAAATGTATCAATAAATTTTCTTGAGTTTAGCTAATAGGTTAATGAATCTTGGGTTTAGAATTTGTTGGAGTGTGATTGAGGAATAGACCAAAGTAGGTATAAGGGATTAATATATTAAATCGGTTTAGATTGTATTGGTTTTCACCAACTAAACCAATCTAATTAAAATTTGCAGGTTTTTTTCTCGAATTTTTGGTTCGATCACCATAGTTTGAATCAGTTTGAATCGGTTGATGAATATCCCTACCAAGATATAGTTAAACTCTCTTGAACTCAATTTTACTACGGTTCAATTTCAATTTCAATTAAGTTACCTCAACAAATTATTAAATATAATATTTTAAACTATCAAAATATTAAATGTTTTTTATTCAAATAATTGAGAAAGTATTGAGCTGATTTTTAAAGAAGATAGAACATGCCTAGATCACAATTAAAAAGGCACATTTTCCCATTTATTAATCACCGCACTTTATTTAATAACATATTTGTTATATTACCAGAAAATGGCTATCATAAATCGTTTTTCTATTGTTTGATTCATTTTTATTAAACGTCTTCATTATAATAAAAAAGATAAGATTGTGTATAAGAATTGTTCTTATTTTTTATTTTATTAATCAAGGTTTAATGGGATATGGTGATTTTTATTATAATAGTAAAATTATTATATCATTTTTATTTTATTTTTTGTTTCAAATATATTATTTGATTTATTTATTTTTCATTATTTTTATTTTTTAAAATAAAAATAATGAGACATTTTTAAAATTATTAATAGAACTATAAACTAAAATTAAAAATAGGAGACGATCTAACTATCCTTAAATCTTGTAAGAAAAAACATTTAATTTTATAGCAATTTTTTTTTTTAATAAAAAACCTGTCATCTGAAAATAATATTATAAAACAAACCACACAACTCAGCATCCTTGACATATCTTTGTTGTTTTGCTGGCTTCTAAAGATACGGTGTTTACTTCTTCAGATCCGACGAAAAAGGTAAGAAGAAACCTACAAGGATCAAGTTAAACGCTTTTTTATTTATTTATTTTTACTTTTTTCTTTTCAAATGAAAATTAATAAGAAAAAAAATATATATGAAAAGGTGACAATAGAAACAATTGAATTGAATTGAATTAAATAAAATGAAAAGAAAGCAAAGAGTCCCACAGTATTATTACTAAGTCCACCACCACCACCCTTTTGATATTTGTTGTTAAAGAAAACCCCTTTATATGTTTTTTTGTGTGTGTGTTAGTTTCTTGTGTGTTGTGTCATTGTGCGTGTGTACTTTTGGAGTGTTGCATAGCATTGCATCATCTTTAGAACCAAAAAACAAAAGCCCCCCTCTGCTCTGCAAGAGTGTGGGTCTGTTCTTGCCTGTGTCTTTGGCCTTTTATCTCTGCTTCCATGTCGGCCATACACTTCATCATCTCATGGTTTTGAATATTTGAACACTAAAGATTCAGCTTTTGTAAAATTCTGTTTTTTTTTTTCTTCTTCTTCTTCTTCTTTTTTGGCGGGTCTTTGTTGGCTGAGAATTTTGGAGCTTGGAGGAGATCTTGTTGCAGATATTCTTGTGTAGTCAGTTACAGATTTTCCTTTTCTTGTGTTTTGGTTCTATCCTCTTTCATCCTTTTTATTTATTTTTTATTTATTTATTTACCTGAGACAGGACAGTGACTGAGACTGTTGTGGAACTGGATCTTGAACTGTGTCATGTTTTTGCCATCATTCAATTGCAACCTTATCACTGTCTCTCCAACTCTCCCTTCAAATTCTCTGTTTGAACCATCCTCTATAAACAGAAAAGGAAAACAAAAAACTTGGTGGGGTTGAACTATTATTTTGGAAAAAAATAAAAATAAAATTGGTCCTCTTGCTTCCATGAAAGCTTCCCTTTGACATCTCCAATTGTCCAAGACATTAGGGTTTGTTTGAGTGTCAAAGTTTTGGAGACAAAGCAGTTAATTGACAGCAAAGAAAAAGAAAAAAAGGAAAAAAGGAAAAAATGGAAGCTTCTCAAGTCTGAATTGGTCAGTCAGCAAAAATTGGGACTCGAAGAAACTGTGGACGACTGGGATTCTTTTCTCAGTGGAAGAAATAATTTGCAACCACTTTGTGTGTGAGGTTTCTCTGAAATTGTTGTGTACACGTGGCACATAATTTTCTTCTGGTTTCAGCTTTGCTGTGATCATATATGCTTTTTCAGGTAAGAAAGATGTTTTAATTCATGGAAGATAAAAAAGAGAGAATGTTTTGTGTTTTTTTTTTTGCTGCACCCCATCATTCTTAGTCATCAATACTATGCTTAATTTGGGAAACTTATACGGTTGAAGCAATTTTTGCAGTGAAAGTTGTCTGAGATGATTACATTTATGGATTCAAAGGAGAAATCAAAAGAGGAGGAAAGGTGTTTGGATCCTCAGCTATGGCATGCCTGTGCAGGTGGGATGGTGCAGATGCCAGTTGTGAATAGTAAGGTATATTACTTCCCTCAGGGCCATGCTGAACATGCATGTGGACCTGTTAACTTCAGGAATTGCCCCAAGGTTCCGCCTATGGTTCCGTGCAGAGTGGCAGCTATCAAATACATGGCTGATCCTGAAACAGATGAGGTTTATGCTAAACTAAGGCTTGTCCCTTTGAGTAGCAATGATGTTGATTATGACCAAGATGTTGTTGGGGGCATCAATGGGTCTGAAACTCAGGACAAGCCTGCTTCATTTGCAAAAACCTTGACACAATCGGATGCAAACAATGGTGGAGGGTTTTCTGTTCCTAGATATTGTGCTGAGACAATTTTTCCTCGTTTGGACTATTCAGCAGACCCTCCTGTCCAAAACATCCTTGCAAAGGATGTTCATGGTGAAACATGGAAATTCAGGCACATTTATAGGGGCACGCCAAGGCGGCATCTGTTGACTACTGGGTGGAGTACTTTTGTCAATCACAAGAAGCTTATTGCTGGGGACTCAATTGTGTTTTTGAGAGCAGATAATGGGGATCTTTGTGTTGGAATTCGGCGAGCGAAAAAGGGTGTTCATGATGGATCTGAGGCTTCCTCAGGGTGGAATCCTGCAGGAGGAAATTGTCAAGTTCCTTATGGTGGATTTTCAGCATTTTTGAGGGAGGATGATGACAGAATCATGAGAAATGGTAACGGGAATGGATTGAACCCATGTGCGAATATGATGGGCAAGGCAAAAGTGAGGCCAGAAGCAGTTATTGAAGCTGCAAATCTTGCTGCCAATAAGCAACCTTTTGAGGTTGTTTACTACCCTCGGGCAAGTACTCCAGAGTTTTGTGTGAAGGACTCGTTGGTTGAAGCAGCACTGCAGATTAGGTGGTGTGCTGGAATAAGGTTCAAGATGGCCTTTGAAACTGAGGATTCCTCGCGGATAAGTTGGTTTATGGGAACCATATCTTCAGTTCAAGTTGCTGATCCCCTTGGCTGGCCTAACTCACCTTGGAGGCTTCTTCAGGTAACATCATATTTATTACACTTGATGCCTTTGAACTACAACAGAACATTACATCGTAGTGAAATATGGTGAATTCTGCTTTAAACCTGGCTGTCCCTTTAATTTCCCCCACAATATTGTATTCTTGCTAATTTATTATTTGAATTTAGCCTGAAATGCCTTATCATCAATAATATGCTCAGCTATTAAGGGAATTTGGTAGAAATGTTATGGTGACATTCATTTTGTATCCTTTGCGCTTTGCATTATGGATACATGTAGAGTTGCTAGTTGATGTTAAAATATGTTGGTACATATGCACTTAGAAATATTAGAATTCAGAAAGTATTAAAAGTTCCAGTTGCTTATTGCAAATTAAATTTTCTTCTGGAGAATTCGATTATTAATGAACTTTATGATGTTGTTTGTACATTCACTTAAGAATGCGCATCTGTTTTATAACTAAATGGCTTCATGCGTTTTTAACACAAGTAACAACAGGTTGTATGACTCTCTTTGATAATAATGTTAAGTATTGTCGGATCCTCCGAACAGCACTTGCCTTAGAAATGCATTGAAGCTGTTTATTTCGCTATTCTGTGTCAACTCTGAATAATTTGCTGAAATTACATTTGTAGGTTACATGGGATGAGCCAGATTTACTTCAAAACGTGAGAAGGGTGAGCCCTTGGTTGGTTGAATTGGTATCAAACATGCCAGCCATCCATCTTTCCCCTTTCTCACCACCGCGGAAGAAATTGAGATTGCCACAATACCCAGATTTCCCCCTTGATGGCCAGATTCCTCTGCCAACATTTCCCAACAACCTTCTAGGTCCCAGCAACCCATTCGGTTATCTATCCGAAAGTACTCCTGCTGGCATGCAGGGAGCCAGGCATGCTCATTATGGTATATCTTTATCAGATCTCCACGTCAATAAAGTGAATTCAGGTCTATTTCCGGCCGGTTTCCCGCCTCTTGATCACACTGCTACACCAATGAGGGTCTCAAATAACCTAATATTTCAAAAGCCCAGCATGAGTGAGAATGTCTCTTGCTTACAATCCATGACAAATTCTACTCAGTCTTCAAAGAAACTGGATGATGGGAAGAAACCCCAGCTTGTGCTTTTTGGCCAAAAAATTCTCACTGAGCAGCAGATATCATCTTTGAGCAGCTCTGGTGATACACATTCCCCAGTTCTTACTGGAAATTGTTCATCAGATGGAAATGCTGACAAAGTGACTAATTTTTCTGATGGTTCCGGATCTGCTTTTCATCAGCAAGGCCTACACGAGCGCGCCTCTTGTGAGAGGTTTCAGTGGTATAGGGATAATCGCCAAGAATCTGAAGCCCGTTTGGAGATGGGTCACTGTAAAGTTTTTATGGAATCAGAAGATATAGGTCGGACTATGGACCTCTCTTTGCTTGGATCTTATGATGAACTGTACAAAAAGCTGACAGACATGTTTGGCATAGAAAAATCTGAGATGCTAAGTCATGTGGTTTACCGCGATATAACTGGAGCAGTCAAACACATTGGAGATCAACCATTCAGGTAGGAATCACAATCTCTACCCTCTTGAATTGCAAAATGCAGTCCATGCTAGAGCTTGACATGTTTATCCATTTGATGCTGTTGCAGCAACTTCACAAGAACAGCGAGGAGGTTGACTATTCTAATGGATTCCAGCAGTGACAATGTAGGAGTGTAATGGAGGAAAATAAACCATTCTTTCAATTGTACAGCTGGTTCATGAAATCCTCAATTCTCATTCTGACCCTTTACCCTTTTCTTGAGCAATGGAAGGAGGCAATCTGATCTAATTTTTGAATATGAAACTCTCCAGAAACGTTTCTCTTCTATCTCAAGGGGGATATTTGGAATTTTTATTTGAGTTGATCATAACTTTTGTTTTTCCTTCTCGTTTTTGATTTTTAACCTTGCCTACTTGAGTTCTCATTTTCAATTTTGTTGGAGGAAAAAGGTGGAGGAGGTTGAGAAGGCGTAGAGATCCTATAAATATGATTGGTTTGTTTGTAGCAAAAAGAAAAAAACAAGGGGTATTCAAGTTGGTGCGTATAATTGGCTTTTGTATTTACCTTTTCTGTGATTGTACCATTGGCTTCTTGTTGTGTTCTTATACATATAATTTATTTGCAATCACAGCTTAATCTTGCATCAAATGCAATTCTAAGGCCAAAAATGTATGTACCATCACTCATAAAGTTTAGTATATGTCAACAAAATTAATGGAATGGGGTCTTTGTTTTATTTTGGTTGGTATGAAATTGGTGCATGGTTGGATCATTCTTTGTGTGACACTAGCAACGAGGTAGGAAAATATGAACACGTTTCCATTCTAGAGACATGTTATGTTTGTGGATGCACCACTAATCTTCCCAATTAAATCTTTTCTTGCTTGACCCGGAAAATTGAACAGGAGAGAAGAAAAAGTTAAAGAAAAAGTTAAAGAAAAAGAAGAAAAAAAAAAGATTAAGTAGGTTGAAGTTCCAATCCTGGGATAGAAACATGAGTTGACTTAATGAGCAGTTAAGTATCAGATGTTTCACACGGCAAGAGATTCGCACAGATCATGAGCCATGATTTCAAGCAAGTAATAAGGTGCCACATGGAAGACAAAGGCATGATGAAATGATACAAGAAGGAAGACATCACAAACATGGTTCCAAAACGTGGAAAATTTCCTCACCCTGGAAAATTCAACCAAACATAGGTCCCTTGCTGATGCCGCAAAGTGAGGTGTAATTAATAGTTGTAGTGATTAATGTAACAATTATATAATAAAGTTATGGTTTATCGGGATTGCAAAAACAGAGTTGTCAAACACAAAGTCAATAATGTGTTAGATTCGGAGCGTGACACACATAAAAAATAATGTTAAACAAGAAACAACATTATAGTAACAAGAAAGTAAGAGCTGTAAAGCAGAAGAGGACACATTGCTATTTGACTATACACTAAAAAACAATCAATAGTATTAACCGGTCACACGTGAGAACGTGGGGCCATGGTAAAGTAAAGGTTAGGGAAAAGGAATAATAAGTTCACGTGTGGATGATGTCATCGACGGAGGGTTTACGCATGCGTTGCGGCGTGTTGGCGACCGAGCTGTTTTTTGTTGCCCCTGCCTCATCGGTTTTTTAAGCTTTGACTACGCTAAAATCCACTATGTTTTGGTTTAAAATCCACTATGTTAATAGCGGATGATGTTAATTCAGTTCGTGTCAGTAAATTAAGGATGTGGAAGTGAGAGCGATCTTTTTAGTAACGTTGTTAAAATCAAGATCTTAAATAAAATCGAAAGAAGATTAAAAAAATCATAAAATATAAAATTGTAATGTAAAAAAATTGTTAAAACGTAAAAGCGTTTGGAATATTAATAAAATCGTTTTGGTGAAAAAAATCGTAAAAACGTAAAATCGTAGTAATAAATCGAGATTTTAATAACAATGCTTTTTAGTATTATTTTGAGAAAAGTTTAGAGTTTTAATACAAAACCCATCTGAATTGGATTAATCGCGAAGCGATCGACCGATTGAAATATTACAAAAAAAAATTCACTTTATTAATTATGTTAATCATTAAATATATGGATTAACATTTAAAGTTATCTTGTCATTTTAGGATTTGAGAAAAAAATATAGAATATTTTAATAAAATTTATAATATAAAAAGAAAACATATCTTGTATTTTTTTCTAAATTTCAAAACAATATTATTTTGAATTATAAAAAATTATTTTATTTCTTGTAATAAGAAAAATTATTAACTCCTTACATTATATATTAAAATATTGTATTTTAGATCACTATGATTATATAAAGAGATAGTGTAAGTGCATACAAACATACTATATACATATATATAGAGTGACATGTGATGACATGAGAGAAAAGGTTATCATTGCTAGACTGTTATAAGTTGCTTCATCAAATTATAATTAAAAGATTTAAAATGCACTTGTATTCTTTTATTAGAATAATATTTATGCAGTTAATGTATATACTGCTTTTGGGCAACCCTCCCAACAACTAAGAGATCCATTCGAAGAACATGGGGACTAGTTGAAGTAATGAGCCTCCCAATATTGGGAGGCTCCTTACTTCAATTAAGATAATAAAAAATCATTTCATCTTTTTAGTTGGATGTATTTATTTTCAAAACGATATCGTTTTAGGATTGAAAAATTAAATAATTATAATTATAAAGACTATAATAACATTAAAATAAATTAAAATTACAAAAATATCATGATTTTTACCTAAAATAACATTATATTAAATTTATTACAAATAACTTATCTGCAGTAGCTACAGAAAAAATAATCATTCTTTTATCTCCTAGAACTATCATACACAAAAATAAATGTTTTTTTTTTGTTTTGGAAAACAACAAAAATAAATGTTAAATGCACATACAGAGAGAAATCACATAAGCGAGACATATGGTTTAATACAATAATAATAATAATAATAATAATAATAATAATAATAACAATAATAATAATGAGAGAGAGAGAGATGAAAGAATTAATGGCGAAAATTAAATCTCTGGATGCCACTGACACAAAAAACAACATGAAGTGGTACCTCTTTTTCATTTTTATAAGCATGTCCTATCTGATTAGACTATCCATTATTACACTTCATGGTTGCTCATAAGATTTTATTTTATGTATAGGGAAGGAATTGAGGAATAATTTCTAGGCCTTTTATTTTTTATTTTTTGGAAAAATGTTCACTGTTCTATATATTTTCTTAATTTTATTTAGATCTTCACTAGCTAGAAACATTTAAAAAAAGGATGTGCGGAAACATGTACAACAACTTTTTACCGTCGTATTTATTGATCATCACATGGCACAAGGTCTTTTGATGAGTGTCGAAATGTTGTTGCTAAAAATTCCGTTGAACCAAACCAAAAATTTCATGTACAACTCTGCCACTTAGAAGACAGAATCCGAAACACGAAGATCCCTATAAATGTTCAGATCTTGAGTTGGATCATATGACTTGAAACCGTACGTATTACTAACGAAATCTCTTTGTTGGCTTAGTTATATATATGACATAACATAGGACACCAAATCTATATCTGCGTTATATAACTCATGGCTTAATTATGATGATTTAGATTTTCTATTGTTTTAAGCACTTAGCTAGGTGCATTTTAGATTGTTTTTAAAAAATTGGTCATGATTCATTGAGGGGGAAAATTACATTTTCCCTTCAAAACTATGTTATTAATTTACTCACAAAACTAAAATACCAAAATTTATTTATCGCTTATTCTTTTAAGCTTTCAAAGCACGAAATGGACAACAACAAAAAAAGAGGGCACTTTTGGAGTTCCCATGTAATATTAAGATATTTATGTTATGAAATTTCTTGCTTTCAAATCCACACCCCAATATTAATTGGGAGAAAAGCAATATATATATAGATGAATGGTCAAAGTTGAGTAAGAAAGAGAGAGGAAAGGGTGAAGGGGAGAGGTGACAAGAACCGTTTCCGAAGCATTATTATTGCTTTAAATTACGATTGCTTTGTTTTCAGGACCCATTTCCCACCAAATATGGCATGGTTTCTATCAAGAACATTAAACAAGAAGACACATGAATAAATGAGACATTATGGGGTGTCTTTGCCTGGTTAATACCTGAACATGGCTTTGCGATTTCGTCAAGGAAACGTCAACTTCGAAATGGAAGAGAGAAAGAGAAAACATTAAAAGGAAAAGGGTGGGTCCTGTTCTTTAGTTGTTTTGATAGATCCAGCAACCTCTCTCTCTCTCTCAATTTCAAAATTTCTTCCCATTATCTTTACTTTAATTTTCATTTTTGTCACATAACTATATTTTATTATATTTATCTTTCAACTTGTCTCAAAATTCCTAACTTCATTAAAAATGATAATAAAAATCCTTATCTCAGTAAATTTTATTAATAATTTTAAGGGACAAGTTATATTTACAAATTTTTTTGTTTACAAACTCTTACAAACTACACTATGTAAGATCGGTCCTACATTAATCACACAATGTATGACCGGTCATACATTAGTGTAATTGCAAAAAAAAGTTTGTAAACAGATTCTGTCCCTAATTTTAATGGTGTTAGTGGTTAAGATAAATTAATTTATTGAAATTTGCAATAAACAAGTTGTTGAACGAAATATAATTTTATGAAACAACTCTTCTAGCCTTTGCAGATGATCTCATGATTTTCATGGAGGCCAATGAGGAGCAGTTGGATGTATTACTGAAGTGCTTATGTTTGTTTGAAGAAATTTCTGGACAAAAACTTAGTGTAGATAAAATAACTATTTTCTTTTCCAGAAATATGTGGTGGCTAATAGGATATCTAGCTCAACGCAGTGATTTTAGAAGAGTTAAAAATATGGGTCGTTATTTGGGATCTATGATGAAGCATGGGAGAGCAATTAGAGACTTGTATGAGAGTATTGTAGACAAAGTAAGGTCTAAACTTAATTCTTAGCAGTAACAGTGTTTATCGCAGGCAGGTCGTATCACTTTGGCTCAATCGGTAATGACAGCAATTCCTTTTTTTCAAATGCAAAGCTGTAAAATTCCTCATGCAATTTGTTTAGAAATTGAAAAAATCCAGAGAGGCTTCATTTGGGGAGATGGTGAGAATAGTAGGAAGTATCATGACATCAGTTGGGATTGTATTTCGCATCCTAAGTGTTGTGGTAGGTTGGGGATGAAGAGACTGAAATTAATGAATGATGCTTTTATTGCTAAGAGAGCTTGGAGTTATCACGTTGGATCTAATCGGCTTTGGGTTAAAGTGCTGCATGCTAAATATGAAGCAAGGAGTACCCGGAATGACCCTTTTGCAGTGAATAACAGTGATTCAAATTTTTGGAAAAACAGTGATTCAAACCTAGATGAGACAACATAGAAGGTTCTTGGAGATGGAAGGGAAATTAATTTTTGGCAGCATAGAAGGTTAACGTCTCAATCATCTCTGCAAGAAGTTGCATCTAATTGGGATCAAATATAGATACAAACAGGAAGGTGGCTGATATGATAACAGTGGAAGGGGAGTGAGACTATGTGGAGTTAAAGCACTGG